CCATTTCATATATTCTATTCTATTCTATTCTATTCTATTCTATTCTATTCTATTCTATTCTATTCTACTCTGTTCTCTTCTATTCCATTCCATTCCATATTTTCTTTTCTTTTCTTTTCTCTTCTATTCCATTCCATTCCATATTGTCTTTTCTATTCTATTCCATTACATTCCATTTAATATATTCTATTCTATTCTATTCCATTCCATTTGATATATTCTATTCTATTCCATTCCATTACATTTGATGTATTCTATTCTATTCCATTCCATTACATTCCATTTGATATATTCTATTCTACTCTATTCTACTCTATTCTATTCCATTCCATTCCATATTTTCTTTTCTATTCTATTCCATTCCATTTGATATATTCTATTCTATTCCATTGCCATTCCATTCCATATTTTCTAGTCTATTCCATTCCATTCCATCTTTTTGTGAAGCACCAAATTTGCCCCCAAAGAGAGAGGAGAGAGTGCACAACAGAAGGTTCACCTGGCACCATTTGCTTGTGCGTGTGCCCGCATGCGCATTGGATTGTAATAGTTTAACACTTAATAGTTTTAACATGGTTTTTCGGATGAGTTTTTTTTAAAACCTCCACCCCAACTTTGTCAAAAGACATAGAAAGGTTTTAAATGAACAAATAGCCCCATGGCCCTCTGACAGATCCCTCTGTGGAGGGGAGACAAGGGTGGAAGGCCAATTTGTGCCAGATTAAATCTAAAATAACTTTAAAACAGGGCAGGGCTAGAAAAAAAAAGAAACTCGCCGGAATCTCTCTAAGCGGAACAAAACGGATCTCCCCAGTTTTATGGCAAAGAATCTGATGGGTATTTCTTTCAGGAAGTCAAGTCCCGGCATCGGGAAGCTGCAAACGATAGCTTGCAAGCACATTTCGAAGCAGATTCTGTCTTTCCCACCGGACCTGTATTTTTCAGCCCTGGCTGTCAAGAAACAACTGGAAGGCATAAACCTTGCCTTTTAATGGCACTTCTGCAAAACGCTAAGGGGGAAAAGATGCTGGATCAGATCACTGTTAAATTGACGGGACCGGAATGGGTTGCTGACAAAGGAAACAGCCAGTGAAGTTT